AATTATCAGTAAGAAACCAGATGCCATTAGGGAGTCAATACCCTCTTTCCTTACAGGCTAAATTTTATTTTAGCATAAAGTCCCAGTTTTGGTAAAGTCAGAAAACCTCCAATTCAAGCAATATGAGGAGGGGGGGATCAACTGCTTGGCACCCTTTGCTGCTGCTGCCAAATAGAGATTATGCAGTTTGCAAGTTTCAAGGATCTAGGTTTAGCCTAGATCTGGATCTCGTTAAGAAGCAAATCATCTCATCAAAAAGGAACATACCATTCAGAGCCACAAAAGGCACAGATCTTAGAATAATTCTGAACTCTCTCTATATATATTTGTTTATATCTCATTTTTTCTTCAGGAAGCTCACAGGGTACAGAAAGTCTCAGGTGGATTCTTCTTTCCCCAGTCCCAAAACATCTGCATCAGAATCACTAGAAGGCTGCATTTAGCTTTCTAGAGAGTAATTTTATTTGCTATAATTGTGGAAGGAAAAATACAATCAACTTTACAACTATGATACTGTAGAGAAATTATGTGGATTAAGGAAACTGACACTTCAATTTCACTTTTTTCTACTCATTAAATATTTTTATCTTAGGTCCTAGAATTGCTTTGTCTAGGTGTTCTTTACCTTCTACTTTCACTCATAAAAACAAGAAGTAATGCAAAGTTATATTTGCTTACAAATTACTAGCACTAGCACTCAAACATTTTGTGAGATAAGGGTGAGTAGGAACAGTAGTATCAGTTATGCTCCAAACTAGACAATAAAATATAATCTCAGTGCACGTTTGCTTGTTTGCAGAATTTAAATTTTTCTTCCCCTTAGATTTGCATTAATAGATTTTGTGTGGCTAAAAGCACTGGGTTGTCACCACACTGGAACTAGGGAGAATTCAGGTACTACCTGACTTAGTCACATCCATTAATGTATAATTTAGTTTAATGTTGTGGAATCAACAACCTATCACACTTTAACTGTCCCACTAAGAGCATCACTGCCCTACTAAACTGTAGTGAGAATGTCATTGTGAATACTAAGTAAATGCATTTTAAAAACTCAGCCTGGTCAGTGGCAGAGCCAGATCAACTGTCAGCACAATCCACAGTCAAGTGAGTTACTATGCCTCCAACAAAATGGAAGCTTTTCCTCCTACCCTCAGTGGAACTGAATAGCAGCCCATGAAAGACAAGGATTTAAATAGATTGTGGGATTGGTGGCCCCCTGCCAGTGCTCATGCTCAGACCTACAAGCAGTCTCGTCCAGTGAGCCAGCTAAATCCCAGCTGTTAACAAATGACCTGGGAATCTCACTGCAATGCCAGTCCGATTTCCCCCATGATAGCCTCCTGGACCTTTCATGGCATACTGCTTTCATCCTGAAACTACTTGAATATTCGTAACTGTTAAAAAACTAAAAACCTATTTAGACGCTTTCATGCCAGCAACCTTGAGCACATTCAGAATGGTAACAAGCTGAAACCACTAACAGGCCTAACTGTTGAAATGTAAGATCAGAGATAGCCATCTGCAGAGATCAGTGCATTAAAGGGCTAGTCTGGCTATTGTCTGGGATGGCTCAAGTAACCAGACCGGAGAGTTTCTCATCCAGATCACTTAGTCCTTCGTTCAAGGAGATTAGAATTATTTTGCCCTTTATCTATGCTCTCTTTCCAGACTCAAGAAGGTGAGAGTGGCAGGCTGGGAAACTAAAGGAAGACAATATTTAAAGAAATATCTAGTGGCTTGCATGATGGCAGTCATGCCAGAAGTCACAGCAGAGAGATGGAAGAATATTTTTCCCTGTTACTTATTTATCTTCTTCTTTCTTGACAAAACAAATCTTTCCAGTCCCAGAACTTATTTTTTCACCCTCTTCTCTCTCACTCACCCTGTATCCTTTCAATGACAGAAGATCTGGTGCTATGTCAGGATGCTTAATGCCCTAACCAAATTATACAGCCACATAACTGATTCTGTCCAACATTTCAGGGCATTCAGTAAACAAGATACAACAAAATTAAAACATCCTGCTTCAAATTTGTCCTAATTTCTATATTTAAAATACAGAACATGATCTTGCAAACTATGAACCATCCTGCACAGTATAAATAATTAGGCAGCAGAGTTCTGATCCTATTCACTTCAGTTTGCAGAAGGCAGACATATTTTGAATGCTTTCTGACTGATTTTTCCTGTGTGCAGTAAAGCATCAAGCAGAAGGTTATGCATTTTTCCTTCCACAGAAGATTTTGGGGAGTGGGCATCAAAATGCAGAGCCACACATTCTGTCTGAAATGGCACAGTCCAAAACTGTACCACCACCTCAGACCACGGGTTCAGTTCAATAAAATACAGTAATTGCAAAGACCTGGTAATCAATTAGGTCACCTTACTATAATTCCAAAGATTGGTAGATTACCCTTTCTAATCCTACTGCCTATAAGGACAAGACATAGGATTAATTGTTTAGGGTAAGCAATGGCGACTACTTCATTTGCTTGGGTACATATGGAGCATTTAAATGACCTAATAACATGGGGACAATACACAAGGTGAAGAAATGGTAGAAAAATTGTTCAAGCAATTTAGAATCCAATGAAATCTAGTCTAGAATTTCACTGTGCTGTGTTCAAACACAAGCTGTTTATCTGAATCATATTATATAAAGTTGTTCAGTATGTTCTAACCAGGGTGGAGACACCCTTGGCTATGAATTCTGAAACCACAGTTTCCTTTATATTTTTATTCAAGTTCAGAAAACTGTCCTGCCAACAGCTTCCAGACTTTGATTCTGTGACTCAAAAGAGGCATGCTGTAAAAAGCTGGACCTAATTTTCAGAGTGTGCTGTATGCAATCACACAAGAAAAGAACATTTAATATTTCGCCCTTTATAGCCCTTTTAATATACTCTAGCAAGGAAAAAGAAGAATTTGTAAACATCTGCAAGGAAGATAGTTGTTCTGTTCCTGGAACTATCTGGCAATAAATCAAACCTGCTGCTGGTATCAAGTTCAGGGGAGAAGAACAAACATTTGTTACCAACTTATTGTACAGCCCCTTGTCTTTTCTTCCTGCACCAAGACAGAGACTTTGGTGGTGGCAGCATCATAACTGATAAGTGAACAAGAAGTTGCCATAGTTAATCTGAAAACTTTGCAGAATGAAGCTTCTTGGGTATGGGTCCCCAAATACTTTCAAAGGATCATAAACATTTAATGAGCCACTCTGACTTCAAAACACAAAAAAGCAACAAAAACTCATTATTCTGCTTTTAGCAACAAAACAGAGTAACTTTACAAGTCCTCATTATTCCTACAGGTTATGGGGTGTTTATTGCCCATATATCCCTGATGTGACTAAATGCCTGTTAGCGAGGAAAAAAGGTCCCAAACTGCCTGACCCCAAGCAACAGCAACAATAAACTGTGTCTTTTTTCTCTGTGGATGTTTAACCTCATATAACAAGGGTACTTACAAAGCTTACCAAAGAGTAGGGAAGAACTTTTCTCACTTTTTGCTACATGAGATGTCTGCAGTCTGACCCAAAGCATATTAAATTTGGCTCCACTTACTCTCTAATGATCATGTTTAAGGTTACCATCCAAATCTGGTTTCTTCGGATAGGATAAAGCCATTCATGATTTACCCCTAAGCTGCATAGAGAGATGTAACTGCCTGGACTTACACAGATAGTGAGCATCAATCAACAGTTATTGTCTACATGTGCGGGGGGGGGGGAGAGCAATTTAAATAAACAGGGCATGTGCCCCAAAAATGTTTATTCAAAAGTCACAAGTGTTGATCAACCTCCTGGTATGCATGCCCAGTATCACAGCTGTGTAGCCTGATCTCTACATAGAACCAAGCCCTGTTTCACAGTGCACAACGTTGCAACTTTATGCACACTTGTCTATGAGTACGAAAACTTACTGAAAACCCTCCTCAGAGAGCATGTAGAGATTCAAGGTACACCTCCAATCATATACATCATATACAAGTGCTGCAAATTCTCTGTAAATCCGGCTGTACAACGGACAACCTCAGAAGAAATTTCAAAAATTAGTAACTTTGGCTAAATATACCTCTTTGAGAGTCACGTGACTGAATGAAGTCTCCTGCAAATAGCGCAGAGATGTTAGGAATAAATGAGCCCGCCGAGTCCCTTGAACAGCATGCCTCTGCTGCCTTCCTAAGTGTTGGGGGGACGGGACCCCCGAATCGCCTTGGGTTTCTCTTTTTTCTCCCCGCGCGGAAATGCACGCTTCTGCTGTCAAGGGTCTCTATTGCAAACTAAGCCGAAGGCGGTCGCCTCCAAGAGCCCCGTGTGTGTATGTGTGTGCGAAGGCGGTCGCCTCCAAGAGCCCCGTGTGTGTATGTGCGCGTGTGTGTTCTCTCTCTCTCTCTCTTTAAGAGGGGATTTCTTTTTCCCAACAAAGAAATCTCGAGGCTAGAGCTCTGAAAAGGAAAATGCCCAGAGCAGAACAAAGAAACTTGGGGAGCCCAGGAAACTCGCCCTGAGGAGGCAGCGTCTCCTGCCCCAAACCAGACACGCCTCCAAGAGCCCCGTGTGTGTATGTGCGCGTGTGTGTTCTCTCTCTCTCTCTCTTTAAGAGGGGATTTCTTTTTCCCAACAAAGAAATCTCGAGGCTAGAGCTCTGAAAAGGAAAATGCCCAGAGCAGAACAAAGAAACTTGGGGAGCCCAGGAAACTCGCCCTGAGGAGGCAGCGTCTCCTGCCCCAAACCAGACAAGCAGCCAGTATTTTTCTGCCGCGTCGACTTTGGTCCTCTTTTAGCTGACTGGCGGGCGGGCGAGCGGGCTTTCCTTCTAAACCGCCGCCGC